CCCCCCCCCCCCCCTCCCTACTAGCCCTAACTACATCACACCACAACACAGCACGCCCGAGACAAAATCACCCAGGCAATTTTGGGGGCCATAGAGTCCTCTAATGAGAGATAGAACAAACAACAGGAAGTAGGGAGAAAGCGGTAGATAGCAGAAGTCCCAACTGTACTCAACGTGTTTCGTTAAGCCAGGCAATAGATTTATGGACTCCCGCCGTGTTGAAGACAAACGTTTAGGTAATGAGAGCTCTAAAAACAATGAGAAATCGAATCGCTTGAAAAAAGCGGAAGGGGGATGTCAAGATTTCTGGAAAAAGTCATCCCCGTCAAAACCATGGGAGAATGAAGAAAAAAAAGTAGATTTTTACAATGAAAAGAACACGTGATGATGAAAGCTAACATGAGTATAGCACGAATTGGCAAAAGGAGCGTTCCCATTAATCGAAAACCAGACAGACACTCAGACAACCATCTCACTAGCACCCTCTCACTCTGTCATTCTCGCCTTGCAAGAAACACAGAGAGCTGACTGAGGATTCACAGTCACCTTTAGGATGGGTAGGTGTGGAGATAAGTTAAAGCGCACATCTTTGGATAAAATTAATTCTTTATAATTGACGTGAATACTCATGAGTATGTCTGCTCTGTCTGCCTTTGACACCACCCAGGTAACGCGCGGAAAGTACCCGAAAATGAACGGAGTGAAAGGGCATAACGTAAATCCCACGAAGAAAACCAACTATACTTACTCGACGAACTGCTCAAGAAAGCAAATCAACAACAATTTAAGAGAATGAAATGGATGTCCTGAATCTGTTATATTTAAGAAACACCTAACAAGTAACCAGTTGAAAGACGACGTCTTTTAGGAGACAAATTGCTTAGAATGCATCGGAGGATTTAATTTAAAAATCGTCCCCCAAAATTGACCACTTAACATGATTGATGGAAAAATTTGTCACAGATTCGATCCAATATCTTGAACGAAATTATTTCCATAAGGAAAGCAGGAGTTACTCTTGATTAAAATTAGCATAAACCATTGAGCAGGAATACTATCACTCTCTCAATAGCAAATAAACAATAGATTAGAGCTTCAGATCTTAGCTCCAATACACCAACAAAAAATCTAAACGCTATTTGCATACACAGGTTTGAAATGATTTGTTCTAGTAAACACTGCTCCCCAAACCGTCGACTTTTCGTAAATAAAGTGAAACGAGAAGATGCTGCTTACGGATCAATCATCGGAAACCCACAATTAGTCATCCACTCCGTTGCCCATTAGGTGTGAAGTCACATGAAATTATAACATCTCGATTTGTCAGACGAGGAAGATGGCAATAAGTTGTGAAAGAGCGGATAACAGGAAAGGGGGGGACCTTTCTTGATTAGCTGATTCTTGCTACATTCACTACTCCCCCCACCCCCAACCATATCCTATTTCCAGCCTTTTAAAGGATCAAATTATCAAGTACCAAGCCTCTAAATACCTAATTGAGCTCCAAGTAATGTCAATATATTGGCCAAATATATAGGGTATGAACCCATTATTAAATTACTAATCAATTTATTTAACTAGCTTCGTGATTTCAACTACCCCCCCCNCTCCAAGTAATGTCAATATATTGGCCAAATATATAGGGTATGAACCCATTATTAAATTACTAATCAATTTATTTAACTAGCTTCGTGATTTCAACTCCCCCCCCCCCCGTTTTGAAACTAACCCCCCCCCCTCTAGTCAATTGCTTTTACCTGATTTTAAATATTATCGGTCGATTTAGCAAATAATTAAAATCGTCTAACTCAAAGTAATGAATTGGAGATTACTTACCAGATAAAAGAGAACCTAGAGATGTTGGCGGTACACCGCAGCCAGGAGCCAGCATAGGTAGAGGCATCGTATGGGAATCCCCTTGATCTCCTAAATCGATCGGTTCCTCCCCTGGTTGAGTGTACTTCGCGCCGAGAGCCGACAGTGATCTCAGGTGGTCTACAGCATCGCCAACAGGTGAAGTCTGCTGATGGTGCTGTTGTTGTTGCTGGTGTGCCAAGTAGGGGTTAGACGAAAGCATTCGCTGCGATGGGGAAGCAGCGGTTAAGATCTGTTCTCTTTGCATGTGATGAAACTCAGGAGACACATTGCCTTGATGGTGTTGAGCTTGTTGGGCTTGAGCTTGGTGACGATACTGTAGAGATCCCGTATTTGGAGAAGAGTGTAGGAATACATTTGGAGGAGGTTGTTGCTTATAGGCCTCTTGACTAGAGGATCCATAACTAGATTCGGACCAGGGACCCATACCACCTAGGCCTCCAACAGAAGGAGGATTACAATGCATAACACCTCCAGTTGTTGATGAGGGATAATGTAGAACAGGAGATGTAACTTGGCCGCCGATTTCCGGAACACCGGTCTGATGAGCAAGAGGTCGGCTGGGTGGTCGCTGATTAGGGTTTGTCAAACCACCAACAAGGGGCGACATTGTTGAAGCACTCGCGGCTGAAGAGGGTCCTATCTGACCGTGATTGGCTCGTCCTGAACCAGGAGCAAGATCAGCAGGGGAGGTCGAATTTGACGCTAAAGCAGCCATTGAGGGCAATTGCACAGGACCATGAGAAGGAGTGGCAGTAGCGGAGCTTCTTCGTGAGCAGACATCAACATCCACACCGTTTCTTTGATCTTGAAGATCTACTGGAGGATAGAGAGCAGTTGATCGCTCCCGTTTCGGGATCACTCCACGACCCGAAATACAACCAAGATCTTCAAGAACTTCTCCCAAGCCATCACAAGTACGCTCTCCGTAACGGTGGTTTGCAGAAACACCCATTGGATACAGGTTTCCGAGTGGACGCATTGGATTGTCAGAGTTGTAAGGTGTCGAGGTCGTGGATTTTCTCAAATCCATAGATTGATCATCTAATGCGTCATGTTCATAGTGACCCTGACCAGGCATATCATCATCAACTCCCAGATTATCCAATTCTTGTTCATCTTCCAATTCCTCCGAATCGTTGAGCATCTTTTGTCTAGAATAGTTTTGAGTTCTGCGAAGTTGGGCGGAGGGATCAGTCTCATCTGCATTATCACTATAGCGTCTACCATCATCCTCAGAATCATCTCTCCTACGATTCTCGTCTTGATCATCCTCACCATTTTGGCTGCCATGCTGTCTAGACATGGAGTAGTCCATAGCCTGATGGATTCGAAAAGCACCACGTCCACGACCACCTCTTGAACCAGGTCCGCCACGCCTTACTGCACCAATATACTGTCCACGAAGGTTGTTGCTGTCATAGTTAGCACTCTCGTCGATTTCTGGTAACCAATGTACACCATCAAGGCCCCGACCACGTCCACGACCTCGACCCCTTCCGCGACCCCTGCCTCGCATTGAGGGATCCTTGTTTGCATAGCCGGAATGTGGGTTATGTCGAGAGACCAGATGAACAGCCATTGCTTCTGCTGCATTCGGTTCCAGATTAAACATACGTTCCAAGTAAGGTTGGAGAAGTTGTTGAAGTTTTGGTCTTCGACCTCGTTTCCTAGGCGGCGGTGGGGCTACTATAGAAGTACCAGAATTATTTGCCAGTTGATTCTCTAGCGTCTCCACCATCTGTAATTCATCGGAGTTAAGTGGTCGACTTGAGGCAAACACTGCGTGGACAACATGAATGGGTTGGTCCTCTAGACTCGCTATTACTTCGTCAGCCGCTTGATTCACTTGTTCAGCCAAGTCCTCACCGGTAATAAAGGGCGGAAGAAGGGATTTAGCGTACTCTCGAGTATTCTCCCATTCAGGGGCATTCGGGTCCATACCAGAGGATTTTTCAAGGACAGCAAGAAGGGATGGGAGTATATTGGCCAATGAAGGGTCATTGGGACCGTCTGGGGAATCAGCTGAGGGAACAGACACAGAGGAAGCTGTTCGGGCCATTTGGAAAGGTTTACTTTGTCCGACAGAAGGAGAGTTAGGGGAAAAGAGTTCAATGGATTCGTCCTTGTTAAGGGATGACCCCATGATCTCGTTGATATCAGAACCAGACGCCGGAAGAATCCCACCACTGGCAGTGGTTTGAAGGACGGGAGGTGGCGGAAGAGGTCGATGTAGAGCTGAGTAGGAATTCGATCCGGGTGACATGAGAGAAGAGGAGGATTTCGAGTGCTTTTGACGATAATGCTCAGTCAGAATGGTCTTTTCCGGGCAACTGAAGGGACAAAGATCACAGTGGAATGGGTTTTCGCCTGTGTGTTTGCTGTAGTGCATGTCCAAAGATTCTTTCGTTCGAAAACGGCGCTGACAATCTGGCCAAGTGCAGTGGAACTTCTTTTCTGAATCTAAAAGTAGAGCCAAAAATAAGAACTTGTAAGCACCAGAAATTTACATTTAGTGAAATCATACTCTTTGGATAAAGTCGACTACAAGCGAACTAGCTAACGAAAGTGAGAAGACCAAGTCTTAGTTATAATTAATAAATAAAACTTATGAAAAATAGTAATGCGGTGAGTATCGTTAAGATAGACTGATTGCATAGCAGAGTACTTTAAACACCTTTGAACAATGTGAACTCACACTTTTATGAGCTACAATTACTCAGACAACAGTGAAAATCGATGCGATGTGTGAGATTTATTGAAGCGACTTAGGAACTATTTATACACTTTAATTGGGGTAGCGATTGGCCAGTTATAAATGAACCAATCATTAGGGATTGAAAGAGGTGCAAAGTAGGATTAGTCACACGCCGGGTTGGTTTTGAGGACTGACCCCGACATACAATGCTCCCCCATTTGGAATTTAATCGATATTACACGACAAAGCATTGCTTTGATTTCCTATTGATAGCCGTTATCCCTTCTCAATATACTTAAAGTAAACCACAACTCAACGTGTTTTCAATGATTAAATGCGACAAAATTTGGATGCGCTACGACCAATAGTAACAAAAATTTAGATTCCCCTTTTGGCCAGCTAAGAATCGTTGCTCATGGCAATCGACGGTTCGACACAGATACCAATCCAATGCAGCTTAGCTTAAGCTTCATTCGAATACCAAAATGAGTGCTGGGGAAATGCTAATGAAATTAAATCCACGTTCTATGTGGCCAATTCAATGCCAAACTGAAACTGTAAGCTTCCCAATACCTCGAATCCAATTATTAAGGAATTAATGATTAAGATCAAACGAAATCGCTACTTTACAGTAGTGAATTCATCAACTCTTAAAGTGATGACTGTGGGCCTTAACCGTTTATTTATTATTAAATGAAGATATTACTTTAATAAATTGTCGGAGTAAATCTTTTAACCTGGAGAATAACAATTCCAAAAAAACTTTTAAATTTTTTGTTCAATTCGCATCATTAAATGAAGCTTATGTACAATACAAATAAGTGAATTTGACTAAGAATGGCAAAAAAGCCTCGATTTTGTGTAGACAAGAAAGCATGAGCTCTCTGTCATAAGTGTTGACCGCTAATAAGAATGTTAACTACATGCTACAAGGAAGAAGAAAAAGTTTGCTAACAAATTTTCCCAGGAATTCTTTTAATTTAGATTGAATCAACACTCCAGTCAGGCAAACACATAGTTGTGGGTTCGGATCAATACCACAGTACCACAAGTTGTAGCAGTGACCCGAAGTGGATACTATGTGTGTGCAAATGTTGACACAGATTAGTAATTCGTCCCCCCTATGACAGGAAAACTAGGTCAGGCCATCAAAGCTCTGAGGTTTATCTGCAGACTAACAGTGGTTAAGTAAACAATCAATAAGTAAAGAAAAAAAAGTTAGATACCATCATGATTTGCCACATGTCGTTTCAAATGCGTTTTTCGGTGGAAAACCAGAGTACAACCTTCAACGGGGCAGAAGTACTGTTTAGGTTGCATATGGTGAAACTCATCGCGATGATTTTTAAGGTACTTTGGAGTGCGAAAAGCCCGATCACAACCCTCCACATCGCAGATATAAGGTTTACGTGGATTATGTATATCAGCATGATACTTCAACCGCAATTTGGTCTTAAACATGCGCCCACACTCTTCACACTGGTAATTGTTCATTGTTCCATGAGTCTGCTCGTGATTTCTTAATACCGATTCGCTGGGAAAACTCATAGAGCAGGAATCACAACGAAATTTGCAATCCTCCGCCCCCATATGATTAGATTCAATATGTTTGGAGAGATTTTTACCATACTGAGTTGAGTAAGAGCAATGTGTACACTGGTGGCGTTTAATAATCTGTCCAGAATGCTTCTTTAAGTGACTACGAAGTGAAGAACGATTGGTGTAGATAGCTCCACACACCTCGCACTCATACTCCTCCGCGTCACCACCAGGAGAGTCGGGAGAATTAGAGTTAACAGAGGGATGATTTTCGTAGTTGGACTCGGAATAACCCAACTTTGCATGCATGTCACCGATATTGCCACCGATGGATTGAACACTATATGATAAAGCAGGGTTCTTCTCGGTAGGAATAGAATTTGACATTGAAGTGCCGAGAGAATTTTGCATAGAAAGGGAATCATGAATCATCTGACTATGTTGTCTTCCATCAACTGAGGAAATACGTCTGTAGTCAACTGCTACTTCCTCATTATAGTTAGAAACATCTACATATCGTGAATAAATATAAAAATAAATATCATACCAGTATTGTTTGGATGCTGTTCAGCATCATAACGAAAGGAAGACGCATACTTATCCAGGTGTCGTAATCGTTCTTTTAAAATTGGATTGTCTGCAAGTTTGCGCTCATCGTCACTAGTATCTTCTTCCTCGTCGTCTTCACTTGAAGTTTCAGAATCACTCTCATAGTCTTGTGTTTTATTTGTTGAATGCCCGGCTAACAAATCTACCTTGAAATTGCCACATTCTTGTTCATTCGGAATTAATTTAGTTTCTTCTGTAAAATTATCACCTTTAGATAGTTGCAGTGATGCAGACATAGTGCATTACAGATAAAATTGCACGTCGAATAACGTTGTTAATGAAAAAACTCCTTAACTTGAATGATAATAATAAAACGAAGAACGACGTAACTAATTTTCAAGGTTAGAAATTTCATAAATCGCCATAAATTAAGATGACAATATTTGAAAAGTTTAAACAAAATTAAGGTGATTATTATTATTCATGGATCCATTTAATCTTACATTTTAACAATACTTTCTCAATATTTTATTTAATTTATTTAAAAATTTATCTTGACCTGGCCAAATAATTTAAAATATTTTTGAATAAGACTGATGGATTTCAAATGTCCTTTTAATTTATCAGGACAACATTTATCCTGCCTAAAACTTATCTTAATAGCCTCAATCTTTAGATTTTATTTTATTTTTCCAATTTATTCATTATAAATGTTCTAGTACTATGGAGTCTATAGCTGTATGCATATGGGATTAGATATGATTTTAAACGCCAATGACAATATAACTTGATGTTTAATACATTTTAATGACTAATAGAGTCTAACTGTGTATTGCGTAAGATTAGTAAATCTGATTAATCTTTACCTCTTAAGAGTTTGGAGAAAAACTTTTGTTCTATCTATCAAACATAGATAATTCAGGTTTTCATTTATACTCTTATATTTGAAAATATATAATTTTTAATAATTGGAATTGCAATGTGTCTAATAATACCGAACTTTATATCCTACCTACATTAGACCCTGTGGGACACTTCATCAATGACCAATAGAATTCCTGCTATAGAACACTACTCAGAAATATTTAGCTATTAATGTTCACGGGAATTATGCTAGATTTATCTGATAACTAATCGCTTTGCCAAAACGACACAATTCGTTATCTTTATCTAGTGAATAAAAGTTTCTATGAGACGTTTCTTTCTTCTGAAGACTCAGTAATTATGAGAATCTATCACAAAGGTTTCTGAGACTTAAGTCAGGCTTTACTAGCGTAGCAATCCGCTACAAATTGGTGACCCTGACGTGATTCAAGCCTGACTTCATCCGCTCAGCAGTAGCACAACCACATTTTGGTGATACGAATTTATTTAACCGCGCAAACGTACCCGAACTGTCAACCTCTATCCAACTCTTCCATTGATCTGTCCTATTTACAACATTATGTCCAAAGAAACAGACAACAACCAATCTAATATCATCCCAAGCTGGTCGACCTTTAATCCCGGTTGTGCAGAAATCTGGTTCGTTCAGTTCGAAAATACTCTCAAGATTAGTGGTATCTCAAAACGTACCAACTGGTTCGTTCACCTAACGGTAGCATTACCAAGTGATATCCTACAATCATTTCAAGATCTAGTTACTAGAACTCCAGACAACGATTCATACGATCTGCTCAAACAGGCTATCATTGGACATCTATCTACTTCTGCAGAAGAGCGTATAGAAAATCTTTTTACAGATTCCGAACTCGGTGATAGAACACCATCTCAACTTCTACGTTATATGCGTTCTACGGTCGGTCCCGAGGATGTGTCCACAAGAATGGTAAGAGAACTGTGGTCAGATAGACTCCCAGAACACCTAGCCACTCAACTCTTGGCTAGCCCATATCAAGACGACCTAGACAAATTGGCTGAAGTGGCCGACCGCATTCATCGAAGTGGTAGTAGACCTAGAGTCCACACTGTAAGAACTTCAGCCCCATCTGACAGTATGTCACAAAGATTGGACAATCTTACGGACCAGTTCCAAGAACTTAAAACAATCATCTCAAATTTTTCTTAACAACCCAATCGTCAACGCGCATTTTCACCCAGAAAACAACAGAATTCAACGGAAAATGAAGACACTATCTGTTATTATCATCACACCTACGGAGATAACGCAAAAAATGTACTCCTTGGTGTCAACACCCCAAACGCCAACAACGCAGTCCAGCGGGAAAAGAACGCGCCGGACAGTAAAGGCGACGCCTGATCCTGGCAGATACCCTATTCGTCTGCTATAGATTACAGACAAGAATTCCAAACTTGCATTTTTGGTGGACACAGGTTCCGAGGTCAGTATTATCCCACGGTCTACAAAGGAACGTTATATTCAAGCCATCAAAACCTCCCTCATAGCAACAAATAATACCAAAATACAAGTCTATGGACAAAAGTTCCTTAATTTGGATCTAGGCATCTGTCGAGAGTTCCCGTTTACCTTCTATGTCGCCGAGGTTCGACAGCTCATCATGGGTGCCGACTTCCTTTCAAGATTCCAGTTATTAGTCGATCTCAAAGACAATGCTCTACTCGACAATCTTACATCCATGCGTGTGACAGGCTCGAAACAACCCTTAGATTCTTTCAGTTTGAACGGACACCTCACGGTAGATAATTTATACAAGGACATACTATCAGAATTTCCTTCCATCTTTCGTCCACAATCAGAGATTTCAGGGACCAAGCGTAGTGTCCAACATCATATTACCACAAAGGGGCAACCTATTTTCACTAAAGCCCTGCGCCTACACCCCGATAAACTACAGGCGGCAAAACAAGAATTTGAACACATGGTTACTTTAGGAATCGCTAGGCCCTCAAACAGCCCATGGGCTTCCCCACTGCATATGGTCCCAAAAAAACGGTGACTGGAGGCCATGTGGAGACTACCGGGCACTCAATCGCATTACATTGCCAGGCAGGTACCCCATACCCCACATTCACGAATTTTCATTGCAATTGCATGGAAAAGTCATTTTCTCCAAGCTCGATCTAGTTCGAGCCTATCACCAGATTCCAACAGTCCCAGAAGATATCGCGAAGACGACTATAATTATACCATTCGGCCTGTACGAATATTTATGTATGCCTTTCGGTTTACGCAACGCCGCCCAATCCTTCCAAAGATTCATGGATGAAGTCTTTCGTGGGTTAGATTTCGTTTTCCCATATATCGATGATGTGCTGATTGCCAGTTCCAACTCGGACTAGCATAAACAACACCTAAGACAGGTGTTTGAACGTCTTCAGCAATACGGGATCATGATCAATCCCGAGAAGCGTAAATTTGGCCTGTCAGAAATCGATTTATTGGGTCATCATATAAATGGTTGCGGAATCACGCCCTTAACAGAGAAGACGCAGTCGATCATGGATTATCCCTTGCCCCAGTCCGTAAAAGGTTTGCGCCGCTTTCTAGGCATAGTAAACTATTACAGAAGATTTATTCCGATATGTGCTCAAGTCCTTTAATCTCTCATAGATTTGCTTAAGGGAAACCCGAAGCATTTCAAGATAACGTCAGAGTCTGAATCAACATTTTCCTTGGTGAAGCAGCAACTATCAGAGACAACTGCATTGAATCATCTGGATGCGTCTGAAACGACATGCATTGTCCTGAAGACCGACGCATCCCAAGTGGCCGTCGGAACAGTCCTACAACAGATAGTCAAGGGAGACATTCACCCACTCTTCTTTTTCTCAACGAGGCTTGCCAATACCGAGATGCGTTACAGCACATTCGGTCGAGAACTGCTTGCCATATACTTGGCTGTTAAACACTTTCAGCATATACTAGAGGGACGTCAGTTTACGATCTTTACTGATCACAAACCGTTAATCTACGCTTTTCAGGCCGCTGCAGACCACCATTCTCCTAGGGAAACGCGAAATTTGGACTTTATCGCACAATTCACGAGTGATATTCGACACATAGACGGCGCTAGTAATGTTGTAGCCGATGCAATGTCGCGTATGGAATTGAATCAAATCGGCGTACCCTCGCTCGATCTGGAAGTCTTGGCGTCCGAACAGAAGTCAGACCCCGATTTCACGGAAATCGTTTCCAACCCTTCGTTGCGCTTTGAATGTTTGCGATTACCAGATTCTGATACCCAAATCTATTGCGACGTTTCGACCGGAAAGCCGAGACCTTTCGTCCCACAAGAATATCGCCCGAAGATTTTCGACCATTTTCATGGTTTGTCGCATCCGAGCATTCGTTCCACAACGAAGTTGATCACTGATCGTTTCGTCTGGAAGAACATCCGACAGGACGTTCGCCTGTGGTCCAAAAATTGTCTCACTTGCCAGACCAGCAAGGTGCAAAAGCATACCCACAGCCCAACCTACAACTTTCCCCTCCCCGAAGCCCGTTTCCGACATATTCATGTTGATATCGTTGGCCCACTTCCACCATCGAACTCTTTCACGCATATCTTAACTTGTATCGACCGTTTTACACGCTGGCCAATGGCGGTTCCTTTACGCGATACCTCTTCGTCATCGGTGGCGAAGGCACTGATAGAGTCGCGGATATCCATGTTCGGGATTCCAGCCATTATAACGACAGAGAGAGGATCCCAGTTCTCCTCCTCGCTGTTCCGGGAGTTAAATCACCTTTTGGGATCGACACACATCCGCACTACCGCTTATCACCCCGAAGCCAACGGCCTTGTCGAACGTTTTCACCGACAGCTTAGGTCTGACCTTATCACTATTTCCTCTGGCTTAAACTGGGGGGAACGTCTCCCAATCATTCTTCTCTCCGTGGGAAATACTATCAAGGAAGATCTTGGATGCTCCCCAGCAGAACCCTTTCTTGGCACAACGCTCCGGCTTCCTGGAGAGATGATCTCTAACTTCCAAGACCAAGCCCCCATAGACCCATTGTAATATTCTGCCCGTTTAAAGGAACATTTGAGAGCCGTCCGTCCAACCCCTACTCGTTTGAATAACACGTCTACCTATATTCATAAAGACTTATCAACATGTTCCTTCGTTTTTGTTTGAGTGGATTCAGTTAAACGACCCCTACAACCACCGTACGAAGGACCTTACAAAGTCCTCAAACGCAAACCAAAATATTTCATTCTTGACCGCAACGACACCAAGGGCTCCGTCAGTATCGACCGTTTAAAGCCGGCTTACCTGGAGTGCCCTATACCAAAGCCCGCAGTTAGGAATCACCCGTCCAATCTTACAACCCCAACAGCCGAAGATCCTATACCACCCTTGTCTCCCCCAC